ATAATGAAATCACCCACAATTCTCTACTCGTATATTTTTTTTCGTTCTCTGTTCTTCAAGCACAAAAAAGTAGAACTGTAGGTAATAGATGACCATCATCCGATGCCCCCTTCAACTTACATCCAGAAGTTTCAGGCATATACTCTCTGCACCAGTGGAGAAGTTGGGCGGGGGCATGCAAGGGGCCAAGGGCAAGCGCCCCCGCTTCGACCGATTTTTTTACTAGTATTACTTATTATAATATATTTCACTTCCCCGCTTTTTTTCTAATAAAAATTAGTACTACTTAAGATTAATTTTAAATTATGTATTAAAATAGAATAAAATAGAATTAATAAAAACATAATCTAAAAATGGAATATAAAATAAAAAGGAGTATAATTGAGCAAATGAAGAATGTAATGTTTAATTAATAAAAATAGAGCATCTTCAGCAATGAATATTATCAAGACAAATCTTCTCAATAAGATGGGAGATGGCTCTCTTACGGATTGTTTAGTATGCTACATCGAAAGAGACATTTTTCAAGCAATTGATAACGAAACTATTATGCAGCATGTTCAAAATATGAAAACTCATACGATTGATTTGTCAAGTTTGCAGAAATGAATCAAGTAGTATGTATTGAACTATACTTTTGTGCTAATTTATTACGCTATTGTTTTTCTTACTATATTTTGGATACGGTTTTAAAATTTTTAGTCTTCGGTACGCCCCCGCTTGGTGGACAAACCTCTGGCTCCGCCTCTGCAGGTGTTCTTGCCCCAACCGCGCCGCCACACCACTGCACCGCTAGAATCAGCTGCACGCCTGCACCGTACTGGAAACTCATTCAACTGCCCCTCTAAGTCGGCCACCGTGTTCTGCCGGAAAGCCCATCCAGTCGTTCGTTGCCGTTGGATCCCGCCGCTGAAGGCCGCTACCCGCCGGACCCGTTGAGGAAAGTTGACGCCATTCGTAGGACCTGCCCAGGTTCCTCAAGCAGCGCAGATCGGGTATTCACAGTGCCCAGTTCCTCTCCGGTAAGCCAACAATCAAGTTTTCTACAGAAAATTTCTGTACAGGATTGAAGGTCAGTCTGATGGATATTCATACATATATCAACAAAACTCCATATGCGATATATATATAAATATATAATAGCTAAATCCATATAAATCCATGAAATCAAATATGTATGAACTAAGATTAGAACAATACCTTGAGAACTCATTTGCATTATCACTTTAAGAAGACCCAAGAATCCAAGAAAGCTAGTAGGCTAAACCTTCCAATGCTATGTAGCTTATGAGAGATGTCCTAATCCTATAATAGATGGGATATATATAGGACTAGCTAGTTCAATATTGTAACGGTTGGCCCCTTCAATTCTAATAATAATTCCTTAATTATTAATATAATAATGATATTATTTAGAATAATTTATTAGGCCATTTTTTCGTTACAATATTCATACTGTTATCTCTTAGTTTACACGCATTGGGGGTCATAACCGGCAAATCACTTTAGTGTAATATATTTAATTTGACCCGTCACCAAAAGAAATATATTATCCTGGTATCTACACTTTTATTATTTCATGAATAGCCACTGTATTATTTATTTGATGGTAAACACATTTTAATTAATTACATATTAGGCCCCTTTTATTGTTTTCCAACAATCTCCCACTGGGCCTTATATGTAATTCTTAACAAAATGTGTTATCTTTATGAGCTCAAAAATACCATCATATAAAATAACATCCTTAAACAATCTGGTCCATCAGTAATACTAATATAGAACCATTGCAGCATTTTGTTATGTTAAACATAACTATACCACCAATGATCACTAGTATCAATATTACATAATGACATAGATCAATCATGAAATGTGTAGCATGAAAATTACATGAAATGTGGCATGTACATGTAAATTTTCAACTGACCCTTCTTTAATAAACTTTAAACTTTAATATCTTAATTGTTCAGAATACACCAAATGTCAAACTTTATTCTGATCAGAAGATAAATTCATAAAGCAATAGAACATCAAGCATAACTTATAAACTCCCACTAAACTTGAGGTTCCTTAAAATCAATGACTCCCAAGTGAGCAGTATGCTCATGAAAAACTTTTGGTGGGAGACCCTTGGTTAAAGGATCCGCTAGCATGGAGTTTGTACTTATATGTTCAATAGCGACCCTTTTATTCTGAACCCTTTCTTTAACAGCTCGATATTTCACTTCAATGTGTTTTGTCTTGCTCGAGCTCTTGTTGTTGTTAGAGTAAAGCACCGTAGAATTGTTGTCACAAAATATCTTGATAGGCTTTGAAACATCATTTATTATTTTCAGCCCATCAATAAAATTGTGCATCCATATTCCATGGTTTGAAGCTTCAAAACAGGCCAACAACTCTGCCTCCATAGTTGAGGTAGCTATCATATCTTGCTTAACACTTTTCCAAGATACAGCACCACACGCTAGTAGATAAACATAGCCTGAAGTAGATCTACTAGTGTCTTTGCAACCGGCAAAATCAGAGTCGGAGTATCCAACGACCTCCAAATGATCTGATTTTCTATATGTAAGCATATAATCTCTTGTCCTCTTTAAGTATCTCATAACTCTTTTGGCCGCCATCCAATGAGTCATTCCTGGATTACTGAGATATCTGCCTAGCATCCCAACAATGTACGCAATATCTGGATGCGTACAAACTTGGGCGTACATAAGACTTCCTACAACAGATGCGTAGGGAATCTTTTTCATTTCTTGAATTTCCAGATTTGTTTTAGGGCACTGATCGAGACTAAACTTGTCTCCTTTAGAGATAGGGGTATCACACGGTCTACAATCTTCCATGCCAAATCTTTTAAGGACCTTATCGACATAGTTCCTTTGTGATAACCTTAAGATTCCTTGTGATCTCTCACGAAGGATTTCAATTCCTAATACAAAGGAGGCTTCACCAAGATCTTTCATTTCAAAATGTTTTGATAGAAATCTCTTGGTTTCATGCAACATGCTTATGTCATTAGTGGCAAGAAGAATGTCATCAACATATAAGACCAGGAAAAATATTTTACTCCCACTGAACTTATGATATACACAATCATCTACATCATTCATCTTAAAACCGAAGGATAAAATGACTTGATGAAATTTGTGATACCATTGACGAGAAGCCTGTTTTAGCCCATAGATGGATTTTGTTAATTTGCAAACCATTTGTTTTGGATCTCCAATCACAAAATTTTCTGGTTGCACCATATAAATAGTTTCATCAATGTCACCATTGAGAAACGCCGTCTTAACATCCATCTGATGAAGCTCTAAATTAAAATGTGCAACTAAAGCCATAATGATTCTAAAAGAGTCCTTTGATGAAACCGGAGAAAAGGTCTCTTTATAATCAATTCCTTCTTTTTGAGTATAACCTTTAGCTACAAGACGAGCTTTATATCTCTCCACATTACCCTTTGAATCCCTTTTGGTTTTAAATATCCATTTACAACCAATGGGTTTACAACCTTCGGGTAATGGGACGAGTTCCCAAACTTTATTGTCTTGCATAGATTTATACTCCTCATTCATTGCCACAATCCACTTTTGAGAATTTGAACTTTTCATGGCTTGACGGAAGTTGATTGGATCATCTTCCATAACTCCACTTTCTTCCTCATGTTCTTGAATAAACACAAGGACATCGTTCTCTGTATCCATGCTTGACACATGTTCTTGGAGATATACAACATAATCATCTGGAATTGCGTATCTCCTTTCTCTAGTGGATCGCCGCAATGACACATTTTCTTGTTGCACTTGTTCTAGAGGAAGTTGAGTTTGTTCATTTTGAACAATTTGTTCAGTTTGGAAAGGAGGAGACGAAATAATGCCTTGTTGAGGTTCCTCATTAGTTTCAAAAGAAACATCCGTATGAATTGGTTCAGGTATTGAAATCAATTCTTCCTCAAAGACAATATCCCTAACTTTATTCTTCCCCCCAAACTCAACATCCTCGAAAAATATGGCAGTTCCCGTCTCAAAAATATTTTTATCCTCGGGATTATAAAATTTATATCCCCTAGATCGCTCCGAGTAACCAATAAAGTAACTACTAACTGTTTTGGGTTCCAGTTTCTTTTCATGTGGCCTATACGGCTTTTGCCTCAGCTGGACAACCCCAAATATGAAAATGCTTTAAACTAGGCTTTTTACCCGTCCAAAGCTCATAAGGTGTTTTAGTAGTTGCTTTAGTTGGCACTCGATTAAGAATGTAAGCTGCGGTCTTTAATGCCTCACCCCAGAGGGATTCCGGTAAGATAGAATGAGAAATCATACTTCTTACCATTTCTTTAAGGGTTCTATTACGCCTCTCAGCTACACCATTCATGCTAGGTGAACCCGGCATAGTGTATTGAAGGACAATCCCACATTCCTCTAGAAATTTGGCAAAAGGCCCTGGACGTTGTTCACCTGAGCCGTCATACCTCCCATAGTATTCACCACCACGGTCGGATTTGACTTTCTTTATGCGTTTGTTGAGTTGATTCTCAACTTCCGCTTTGTAAGATTTAAACACGTCCAGGACTTGAGATTTTTCATGTATAAGAAATAAGTATGCATATCTAGAGTAATCGTCTATGAATGACACAAAATATTGTTGACCATTCCATGAAGGAGTAGGAAATGGCCCACAAATATCTGTGTGTATTAATTCTAAGACATCCGTAGCTCTATATGCACCTTTTTTCTTATTTTTGGTTTGTTTCCCTTTAATGCACTCAATACAAGTATTGAAATCAGAAAAATCAATGGAATCTAGTGTTCCATCGGACACAAGACGTTCAACTCTATTTTTAGAGATGTGACCTAGTCGTTTGTGCCATAAAAACCAGATTGTGCATTATCAACCTTTCGCTTAGTGCCTCGGGTGTCAACATTTAAAGCATTATTATATGAAGTTATTGTTTCGAGCATGTAAAGATTGTCATATGACATAAAAGAACCAGTCCCCACAATATTTGAATTCAAAGACAAATTAAACCGGAAGTTTCCAAAGGAACAATGATAACCTAATTTGTCCAAATAAGAAACAGAAACCAAATTCCGCCTAAATGACGGAACAATAAAAGTGTCTTTTAAATCCAAATAGAAACCGGTAGATAATAACAATCTAAAATGCCCAATAGCCTCCACATGCACCGCTTTGCCATCTCCCACATAGACGCATCTTTCAGCATCATTTGGCTTGCGGTGGCTCAGACAACCCTGCATAGAAATACTGATGTTAGATGTTGAACCGGAGTCTAACCACCAAGTATTTCTAGGCACCGAAGCTAAATTGTTTTCAGTACAAACCAAAGCAAGGACCGTACCTTTCTTCACTTTCCAAGCATGATACTTGGTACAATCCTTCTTCATGTGTCCAGACTTCTTACAGAAGAAACAGGTTGTTTCACCTTCCTTATGTTTCATCTGTACTGGACCCTTAGCAGCTTCATTCTTAATGAGAGTTTTCTTCCTCTTTTTACCCTTATCCTTAGAGGTACTAGCCAAGTGAGCACTTTCTATCTTATTTTGTTTCATCCTCTCTTCCTCTTGCACGCAATATGAAATGAGCTCATTAAGAGACCACTTCTCTTTTTGGCAGTTATAACTGACCTTAAAAGAATCAAATGCAATAGGAAGAGAGTTCAAGACTATGTGTACGAGAACATCTTCCGATATCTCAATCTTAAGTGTCTTGAGCCTAGAAACAATATAAGACATTTCCATAATATACTCCCTTATATTTCCTTTTCCTGAATACCTTTTGGAAGTAAAGTCTTTTAATAACATGCTTATTTCCGCCTTATCGCTTTTAACAAAACGTTTCTCAATTTCAGAAAGGAAATCCTTGGCATTAGTAACCTCATCGGATACAGCACCCCTAAAAGATTCTGGAATTCCACGCTTTATGATCATAAGACTCAAGCGATTCGAGCGATCCCACTTCTAATAGTACCTTTTTTCATCTTGGGTACTAGCATCCGTAAGAGAAGCGGGTTGCTCTACCCTTAATGCTAAGTCAAGATCCATGCAGCCCAAAGTTATTAGAATATTTTCTTTCCATTCCTTAAAGTTAGTACCATTTAGGACAGGGATGGAGTTGAGATTGGCAGATATGCTCGAAAAATTAACTGTAGAAAGAACAAGGAAAATGAACATATGCTTTAGTGAAATTGTAAAATGATTTTTAACCCATCACAAGATACCAAATGCACCATTAGTATTTCATCTTTGGACAATAATACTAATTGCTAGTGGTACTCTTGTTGTAACAATAAAATATAACAATAATACATATAAAAGAAAAATCCACCTTTGGGTTGACTTTTTCTTTTAAAGTGCAACCTTATAATTGTTATATATTTATTATTACCAAAATGTATATATATAATAACTTTATAAAATATTAATCTTCCTTTGGGCCGATTAATATTTACTTGAACTATATACAAAGTATGTACTACGTACTATGTTTAATATTTTATATGAGCAACTTACACAATAAGATCACTTTGGTGACATATTGTTTCTATATACCCATTTTAAATATTAAACTTCCTTTTATTTCACAATTTCATCAGTCCCAAACAATTCTTTCGTAATTCTACTCAAAAGTAGCTTACGGCAGTTAAAGAACTTGATAATTCAACAACGGCAATTTACTTCAAATTGAATCAATCACAATAATCAACACTCAACAGTAAACTTAATTCACAAAATTATTTGATTAAAATGATGAAAGCAAATTAAAATAATATCAGGATTCTATCCGGGCACACCATTCAACGTATCCATGGCATATGTTAAAAAAAAAACGGTTGCCATGTACTCCGTATGTAGCTCAACACAACAGTTTTCACCGGTAGGAAAAATTTAATTAGCCTTTATTAGCATCTTCATTTATATACTATGATAAACTAATGATTTAAAACCACAAGGCCACAAACGTACGGAGTATCAAATTTATATATATGCTAAATTCATTTCAGCTTTATAACTTGACGGGATTTGAACGCCGTGATTCAAAATACAGTAGCATGTATACGTGTAAACATTTATGCTCATATGATTAAATTGTACTTGAGAATTTAAATGGCATAAACGGTTGCCATATTGCCGTTATAAAAAAAATATACTCTGCAGCAACTTAGAAGCATGCACTCGTATGCTTGAGAATTCATTTGAAACCACGTATACGAGCAAAAAATGAAGCATTGAATAATTGGTTTCAAGCTCTCGGCATATGAAACGGTATGAGTAAATTAAACATGCAGCGGAAATAAAAACGATTCATCTCAAATTGGCATCTATAGGCATATGAAACGGCTCTTATAAACATACTGGAGACTCAATAAAAACTTTTGAACATCATCTTCCAAAATCCAGATTGTCGAATAAGCAATAATTCGGATTTATAAAAATTTCATGAATCTATAATGGTCGTCTCTGATACCAATTGATGGATATTCATACATATATCAACAAAACTCCATATGCGATATATATATAAATATATAATAGCTAAATCCATATAAATCCATGAAATCAAATATGTATGAACTAAGATTAGAACAATACCTTGAGAACTCATTTGCATTATCACTTTAAGAAGACCCAAGAATCCAAGAAAGCTAGTAGGCTAAACCTTCCAATGCTATGTAGCTTATGAGAGATGTCCTAATCCTATAATAGATGGGATATATATAGGACTAGCTAGTTCAATATTGTAACGGTTGGCCCCTTCAATTCTAATAATAATTCCTTAATTATTAATATAATAATGATATTATTTAGAATAATTTATTAGGCCATTTTTTCGTTACAATATTCATACTGTTATCTCTTAGTTTACACGCATTGGGGGTCATAACCGGCAAATCACTTTAGTGTAATATATTTAATTTGACCCGTCACCAAAAGAAATATATTATCCTGGTATCTACACTTTTATTATTTCATGAATAGCCACTGTATTATTTATTTGATGGTAAACACATTTTAATTAATTACATATTAGGCCCCTTTTATTGTTTTCCAACACAGTCTTCATCTCCTTCGATTTGTTGTCTTACTTTATATGCTAAAATTAACACATTTATAATTATATAGTTTTTGAATAAACTAAAGTTCAAATTTTCAGGGATTATGTTGAAATCTTAAATTTTTATATATTCGAACTTGGTATTGTCAATGTTGAATGTTGGATGTCTAGATATCTTATATTCTTATACATGTGTGTTTGCTCATTCTTAAATGGAAAATGATGATTCACTATGAGCTTGTAATTAAGTTGAGTAAAATGAAGAAATTAGTGCGCAGATGAGCCCAAAGTATTGCTAGGACCATTCCAAAGTTGACAACGGGTAAAAATGTAAAATGTATATGGGTTTCAGATATTTATGTCCGGTCCTAGTGTTTTCTTTTAACCGACCGAAATAAAAAAAAAAAACGAATTGAACCCGAAAAATTTCCTAACCCCACATCACGATCTCGGTGTTTGTGTCTGAATCTTACGAAGTTCTCCCTCCATCCCGAAAAGATTCGTCAATTTTGACTTTCACGTGGATTAATAAAGTAAAAACTGTGTGGTTGAAATTTGTGCAAAGGGAAGAGATTTAACTTTAGCCACATATTCCTTACTTTAAATAGAAATGACAAATCTTTTTGGGACATTCACAAATGGAAATTTGGCAAATCTTTTTGAGACGGAGGGAGTATTTACTAATTTCAAAGTCGGTCTTTCAAATGTACTTGTATTTTGTGATGCAAATTTAAACAATGGTGATCTTACTAATTGCTACGGAGTATTATGCAATCCTTTTTCTTCCTGAAGGATCAAGATAACTAGGAGGCTAGGAGCTCGTTTGGTAATAGCCATATCGGTTGTATTGGTTGATTCTGATGAAATTTATGAAGTTCTAGCTGGTGTTGTTGTATTGGTTGATTTTACTGATTTGTGAAAAATAATAATTTAAAATACATTTTATTAATAAAATAAAGAAAAAATTATATGAAAAAATAGCTAAAATGATCATTTACACTAACTTCAACTAACACAGCCAGAAAAGTAACTCCAACCCGTAAAATCAAAAGTTACGTGTTTGTTGAAAAAGTTGACTTATAAGTCTGAAAAGACAAAAATCATAGCTACCAAATGGGCACTAGAAAAAGTTATCACTACGGCAGTACATATCGGAAATTATAAGCAAAATAGTCGAATAAGTCCTTCAGAATTCATCACTTAAACCCCTATTTAATTATTATGAAAAAAATCAGTTAAAGGTTGGATTATTAGTGTCATCTTTTTCCTTTTTTGAATGTTTAATATTTTGGTATTTTCTAGAAAGCATTATTTTCTATGTACGCCCTAAATAGGGATGGCCCCGGGCCGGTTCGGGCCTAGGCCCGGCCGGGCCTCAGGTCTGTTTTGTTGGGCCCGAGCCCGAACCGGTGGCCACCGGTTCTGGTTCCGGTTCCAGGCCACCCAGTTAGTTTATTTTTTTTTCTTTTCTTTCCCCCCACCCCTCACCCCCACCCCCCCAAACCCCCCAAACCGGTCCTAAACATCAAGCCCAACTCAATAAAGACAAAAAAAAAAAACAGTTTTTGGCCCGGGCCCGACCCGGCCGGGCCGGTTTGCCAAATACAAGGCCCGAGCCCGGACCCGCCCCCCAACCGGGCCTAGGCCCGACCCGGACCCGGACACGAGAACCGGGCCGGTTCCGGGCCCGCACAGTGGCGGGCCAGGCCGGTCCCGGGCCGGGCGGCCCGAACCGGGTCCATGCCTAGCCTTAAAGAATGTTTAACCAAGGATTGAACATCTAGAAAATACAAAGTCCGCCTTAAAAACATAGGAATTTTGTGATTGGGTTTACAAAGTGGAACGGAAGCAGTATTTGCTTTGTATTCGAAAACCCAACGGACAACAACACATTACTACGTTCATTTATTTCGTTCACATTTGCCAATAAGTTATCAATTTCCTTGGGAGAGTAAGTTAGGTTAGCAGATTGTCAATAGAGGATTCAGTCAGCAGGTTTGATTAGTGGAATAAATTAGCGAAGTATTTGACAATTTAGCTGTTTGGCCATAAAATTAGTAGAACACGCCATTTTTCAAAAACTCTCCAATTAGCAGTGTTTTCATTTCAACGTTTTCAAAAATGCTAGTATCGAATCTTTGTTTAACAAAGAATCTTTTCACTTGTTGAAAACGTTGAAAGTGATCAAATTATCATTTTTCTGTTGAAACGCCGTTTAGGAAACACCATGTATTTAATTGTTCACTTTTTAAGCAATTCAATGTTCATTTTGATATGATGTACTATCTCTGTCCCAAAAAACTTTGTCATTTTCAAAAACTTTAACCGACTATATCTTTTTTTTTTTTATTGAAAATCATTTATAATATAAAAATTATATGAAAATGTTCTTTGTTAAAAAAACTTTTATATAAGTACAAAATTTATAACTTTGGTAATATTATACGGAGCACTAAGCAAAATTAGGGTTCGAACTTTTTCGTAATGACAAAGTTTTTAATAGTAAATTACACGGCATTGATGATGTGCTATACAATGTGAAAAACAATGTAAAGATGAAAAAATCCCTGGGTATTCCGACATATCCGTCGGTATATAATGCTTCATGTATCAACTCTTATACCCACCTTACCACCATGTTTGTGAAGTGTTTTTTTTTGTCGATGAACTCGATTCACAGATAATATTTTTATTGTGAAACATTGTCTGTGAATCGGGGTTCACAGACAAAAAATACTTCACAAACATAGGTGGATACAAAAGTGGGTATAAGAATGAGTACAAACGTCATTTTTGATAAATTAATTAATTAAATAGGTTGCACAGTCCTTTTGGAGAAAATGACGGAGAAGTGCAAGTTTTGTGAAACCCTTCCAAAAAGTGCAGGAAAAAGTTTGGACGACAAAAATAGGACAATAGTAAGAAAAAAAAGGTCTTATGCTATATAAAATAATTCCTCCGTTCTTTTTAGTTGTAACAGTCAATATTTCACGCTTGGCAATGTATGTTTGTGATCATAATTATATCTTAATCTCTATTAGTAAAAAAATTAAAAATTGGATTTTGAAAATTCGTAATGAGATGAATTGCGCAATATTTTTAAAAAAAAAGTAATTTTAATGAAATAATAACGTAAAATTTAGTCAAAGTAGAACATGTGAAATGCATAACCAAAAATATTTTTGGTTTAGATTATACTCCCTCCGTCCCAGGGAGAAGTTCTCACTTTCCTTTTATGGTAGTCCCAACAAAAAGTTCCCATTTCCCTAAATGGAAAGTTATTCTACATCAAAACAGTGTCAAACAGTAAAATTTACCCCTCAGTAACTTTATTTCCTAAATATGTGTGAAAGTCAACCCGGGAACTTCTCCCTGGGACGGAGGGAGTAATAGATAATAATAGATAACAGATGATTGCTTTATTTTATTACTAAAATATATTTTAAAAATAATTTTATCTTAAATCAGCAGAATCAGCCAATACAATCACTTTAACTAGAACTTCATAAATGTCAACAGAATCAGCCAAAACAACCGATTTTCGTGCTACCAAACGGACTCTAAATTTCAGCAGAATAAGTTGATTTAGCCAATTTAAGTGTTACCAAATGGGCTTATAGAGGTAAATCAAGTAGTAGGAATATTTTTAAGAAATTGTCCTAAATTGGAGTAAAAACGTTTTGAAATTCCAAAATAAGAGTATCATGTTATTTATTCCCTGAATATGTGTAATCTGCCAAGTTTGGAAAAAAATGTCATGTTTAAAGCCTTGTTATGCCGAGTTTGGCAGAACTCTCTTCCTATTCGAGAATAAAAAACATGATACTTCTATTTTGAAATTTCAAAACGTTTTTACAGGGCCGTTTAATGAATTTGGAGGTCTCGATTCTAAATGTAAAATCGTGGCCCCAAACTAATATAAAAAGTTTATTAAAAAATATCAATCGAAATACTTATATTCAAATCAAATGAATACTTATTAAAGAGAACCAAGAGTAAAAGGACCAACGAACAAAATAATGGATTTATAATTGAGAAATTTGTTGATTTAGTCCCGTAACTTATAGCTATTCCCGATATTGGTCCTGTAACTTTATTAACTTGCAGATTACATCCCGTAACTAATAAGTTGGTGCAATTTTGGTCCTTCTCTGCCGGAACTTACCAATTTCGCCGTAAAAGACACATCACCTGCCACATGGTATATTATTTGGAACTCATTTGCTGACTCAATGTTGGCCCTTAGCTAGAGTTAAAAAATTACTTCTTCTTAGTTGCAGCAGGAGCATTTTCAATGAAGTTTAAAGCTTTTTGGATTCATGTTTTAAGAATAAAGCATTTGAAATGTTACATCAACTTCACTTCTCACATCTTTAACATGAGAAAGACCAGAAGCAAAAACACTAGCCCCACAACAACTATGAGGAGCCTTTTCTTTTTAGCCTTCAACTTTACAACCTCTTCCTCTTTTGAATTGAGTCTTCTAACCAATCCCGGAATTATCATCGTTCAACGATGGTACATAGGTGGGTCCGCCCATTCAAAAAATCTGCAACCTTCTGTCTGTATCAAAACAAGATGAAGCTTAACTTACTTTTTACTGCTTTGAACACAAAAATACATTATCAAATGCCCCCAACAAATAGAAGATGGTAATTTTATTAGCAGAACCTAGCTTAAATTATAAAATACATTTTAATTTTCAAACAAATTTATTATTCAAATGCTATTCTTAAATTTCTAGTTTATTTAGTAAAAAAAGAAGCAAACAATGTAAATTAAAAAGCTGAACTTCTTACTCTGCTTCTAGCGCATACACGAAACCTCCTTACAGGATCGTTATCAGTCCAAGAAGTTAGAAGAGAAACCTTTTTACCACAATCACACTCCATAAACTTTTGTCTGATCGAGAGCCGTTACTAGCAGATTTGAAGAATAACTCACTCTATCGACTTAGTTCAGGAGAAATCTTCAGGTAGAGTTATGTGTTCTTCCCCCCTTTTGCAGATCCGATAATAGGCTTGGTATGGTTGTGCATGCACTTAGCGAAGAGCTTTCGTACTCTGGTTTTTTAACTCCAGCTAAGGGCCAACATTGAGTCAGCAAATGAGTTCCAAATAATATACCATGTGGCAGGTGATGTGTCTTTTTCCGACGAAATTGATAAGTTCCGGTAGAGAAGGACCAAAATTGCACCAACTTATTAGTTACGGGATGTAAATTGCAAGTTAATAAAGTTACAGGACCAATATCGGATATAGCTATAAGTTATGGGACTGAATTAACAAATTTCCCTTTATAATTTTCTTCCTTACTAATTGTATTTTACAGTTTAGTATTAATATATAATATTACTCCTTATTATATAATACTAATAGAAATTTAAAAATCTAGGGCCCCTAAAAAACGCCCCTGTGTTTTTACTCCTGGAGAATTCTCTCAATATTTTTGTTATTTTTTCACCCATTAACCTCAAAATACATGCTAAGTTAAGAATTAGAGGTGGAACCATTTGTAATGGGGCCCAAAGTTTTGAGAAAGAAGAGAATGCATACGGCTGTGGTATATTGGTAATCCCGCACCTCTATCCTTGGGTCTCTTCACGTGATTCCTGAATCCTGACTCCATAGTCTTGTCTCATACAGAGTATAGTACTGTACTAAACAACTCATGCCATTCTTGAAAGCTTTTGCCTCCTTTTGCTCGTCTACTTCTCCCCCAAAGGTGAAACCCTGTTCCCTTGTGACCTGCCCTGTCGAAACCCCCCCAAAAACTGTAATTTTATAGCGCACTTGTTGATTCTTGCGCTCCTTGTTTTCTATTTCGACCAGAAATGGAAGGGTTGTTCATGGCAGTGCTTCTTCCACTCCTTTTTGGCATTCTTTCTTCTTCTTCTTCCTCTGCTCGTTCCCATTCCCCTGCATCCAGCTCGCTGATTCCTCCCGACGCTTCGGCATTGTTGGACTTCATACTCAAAGCGGACTTGCACGGGAAGAAGCTTCAAGGCTTTGTGCCAACACCACCGTTTCTTTCTGCAAATGGAACGGCGTCCGGTGCAGCGGCGACCGGGTGGTCCGTTTGGTGTGCAAAGGAATGGGTTTGGACGGCTCTTTCGCTCCGGCAACTCTAACTCGTCTCAACCAGCTCAGAGCTTAGAGCCTTCAAGAAAATTTCCTCACCGGACCTTTCCGATCTGGTTAACCTCAAGCTCCTCTTCTTGGACCATAACTTGTTCAGCGGCCTGATACCGCCTTCGATTTCCGCTCTCCATCTCTTGAAAGCCATCGATCTATCCTCCAACAACCTCACCGGAACCATACCCGCCTCCTTGGACGGCATTGGGCGGTTGTACCATCTACGCCTCGATTCCAACCGCCTCACCCGTCCCGTTCCGCCGCTCAACCAGTTTACCCTCCATATCTTCAATGTCTCGCATAACGCTCTCTCTGGTCCTATTCCGGTGACGGCGGCAGTGTCGTCCTATCCCATATTGCCCTTTTTCCCGCCATCTCCGGCCGCAGTTACCCCACCACCGCAGTCCGCGAAGTCATTAAATCAAAATATGAAGCTGCACGACGGCGGACCTTACAGCCCTGTGGGAAACAAACCAAAATCGAAAAGACCCGTTCTCATAATCGGGTTATCCTTAGGCTTCTTTATTCTAATTTGTTCCGTTATATGCTTCGCTATGGCAACAAGAAAATCAAGCAAGCCTATAGAATCTGCTCCTAAACTTGCACTGGATCCGGAGGCGGTGACGAGAATGGGAGAAGAGAGCAGCGAGCTGGAAGATAAGGTGAGGAGGGTGCAAGAAGGAATGCAGGTAATGGGGAAAAGTGGAAACTTGGTATTCTCTGTAGGTGAGTCAAAAATGTATACGCTGGAGCAGCTGCTGAGAGCCTCGGCCGAGCTTCTAGATAGGGGAACAATGGGGACTACATACAAGGCGGTGCTCGACAACCGTCTGACTGTTTGTGTGAAGAGACTGGATTCAGGGAGGATGTCCCGGACGTGTAGGGAGAAGTTTGAACGGCACATGGGATCAGTGGCCGGGTTGAGGCACCCAAATCTGGTTCCGCTCCAGGCTTATTTTCAGGCTCAGGATGAGCGGCTTGTTGACTATGATTACCACCCCAGTGGTAGCCTCTTTTCTCTCATCCATGGTACCTTCCCAAAACTACTCCTTTTCAATTTTCCTTGCTCTTATGTTCTTCCATTTTGGCTGTGAGTTTAATTGCAAAAGTAAACTTTGTATAGGACTTGAAGTCTGTGTATATTGATTAGGAAAAATTGATAAAATTAATCTCACCTTTCACTGGTCTTCTTATAAGATCCCATCTTTATATAATCTCAGAATAATCCTACATTTGCACCTCATCTTCTTTCATTGGACCTCTTTTTTGAAAATCTTATATAAATAATCTCACATTTGTAGGTCTTCAATAGGTCAGAGTCCAATGAAAGAAGATGAAGTGCAAATATGAGATTATTCTTGAATTACGTAAAAGTGGGATTATTATGAGATGATTAGTGAAAGGTAATACTCCCTCCGTCCCGAAAACAACATCCCGGTTTGACTTTCACACACTTTTAAAAAATTAATTTGACTTTACTGTAGAGTGCACTGTTTAAACACTGTTTGGCACCGTTTAAACACTGTTTGACACTGTTTAAACATTGTTTGGCACTGTTTATCACTTTTTTGATGTAGATAATTTGCCAAATAAGGAAAATATTGAAGTGTGAAGTTAAATTTGGGACATCCATTTAAGGAAAGTGGGAAATTTTTTTTGGGACGGAGGGAGTATTATTCTTATCAATTTTTCCTATTGATTACATAGTAGTAATGTGTGTGAATGTTGGTCAAACTTTCAACTCTTTAAGTCCTTGTTTTCCTTCAAACTTTTCGTACGTGTACAAGGGTTTTAAGTGTACAAGGGTTTTAAGTTGCTTATTACGGAGTATTTAGTTTAAAAAGTCTACTTTAACCCTGTCCATCTGCAGTAAAAAAACAAAAACGCAGAAGAAAACCCTACAGACCTCCGATCTAAAAAAGCGCCGCTATAGCGCCCGCCTCTCTACCGCTATAGCGCCCGCTATCTCCGCAACTCCCAAACGCCACGCTACAGGATGTCTAGTAGCGCCAGACCTCTCCTCCGCTCCGCTCCACCGCTATAGCGCGCGATTGACATCACTGATTTTAGGTGTGTAATCTTTTTGTTTTTAAGAGAATTTCAGCTAAGGACCATCCCCTATGCAGCCCCTTGTGAACCCAGTAAAGTAAAGGACCATCCCTGTGATAAATATTTACATAGTTGTAGTTGAATGTGCACTCTTCCATTTATATTGATCCTGGAGCATAGTTGCTGAAAATATTATTGCCTTGTAATGCAAAAGGAATGGAGTGCATCAAAGGAAGCTACTCACTCCAATACTACTCAAAGATTGCCATGCAGAGGACAAAGATGAGCAATGATTGGTTGGGATAAGGGTTGTTATACTAGGTGAATCTGTGAATGTAGACTGTGCCACGTCACCAGGGGTATAAACTGTTGTTTTCATTTCAGCTCATAATTATTGGAAAGTTAGTAAACTGTGCTCTTGACTATTTTGTTAGTCTATTGTGTTAACATTACATGAAATGCTAAGTTTGGGTTGATGTTTAAACCTTTTTAAATTACTAGAGGTATTTAGAGAGTATTATGATAGATCTCAATCATCATGCTAATGAGAAAGCACTTATTAGAAAACTACAATTTACTGAAATTACATTATAAAATGGTGTTTATCGTTTGACAGGAAGCTGTCTCTCTTTGCAATATCAAAGTTATTGAGGTCAGCCATGGTTTCAGATTCCAGCAATCATGTTTTACACAGAGAAAGTGATAATACATACTAGTATAAGTTAGTACTTCCTTTTAGTTGTAGCTGGTAAGTTGTTTTCCTAACGCCTTCTTCTATGACGTTGAAACCAATCCAAGGCAACCTCAATCTCCTCCCAAGGAGCATCCTCTATGTCATCACTCGATCTCTCCTCATAAGCAGTCTCTAGTGGCTCAGTCTAGGGAACGTAAGTGTCGTCTCCAACATATCCCATGGATTCATGCTCGGTCGCAGTACTTATATTATCTCTTTCAATCAACCTCACACGGGCTCTTCCTCGACTCACTCGACCACTCCTAGTAGCACCTTTAGTCATTAAACACCCCTGGTTGGCGGTATGTGTATTGCCCGTAGCATGCCCTAAAGGGTTCTGCCTAGTAACTCTTCCTCTGCCTCCGCTAATGAGCCATCTGATTCATAAGAAGTGTCAATTGATTGATATGTACCTCAGATACATTTGGGCTCTAGTCGCTGCCATAATGATTGCTAAGGGTACCATCTTAACAACCAGAGACATTGGAACATGAGTTCCAAAAGTTCGTAAGTACAAAAAAGAACCTATGCTCATGGTTCAGAAAAAAAATGAAAAAAAATTATGCTTTCAAATGAAATGTTTAGGAACCTTAGGCTCTGATACCAATTAAATTATCACGCCCCGAACCCGTCGGTGATGTCGACAATCTGCCGTATGACCCGTTAAGGCTAGTCACAACTCACCCTCACCACATCATACAAGACGTCATGATAATCATCACACAAAGAATTTCATTAAACAAGTAATAAACAAAGAATTTACATTAAATAATATTAAAATAAATCTAACTAGTAACATCCAAAACCAAGCCACAAGCGACAAATACGGGTACACAAACCCAAACCAATATTCAAAACAAATATCTAATCCATGAGCAACTAATATTGAATTAATTAATCAAAACATAACTACAAAACACGAATCAGGTCTCTATATTCACCCGTGCAAGAGTGAAAGTAGCCAAGCAGGGCAACCTAAAAACAAATGAGCTCCCTACATTTCAGGTATTGGTGAGAGAAAGGTGACACTATATGATTATAATGATCATTTACACATAGGACCCTTAAAATATGAAGATACATATAATATAACATTTTATATATACTATATATACAGAAATAGTCAGCCCATAGGCCATTTATTTTATATAAAAACTTTTAATTAATTCCTCAAAATAAATGTTTAATCTATCATGGCCGAAACCTCGACTACTAGCCTGTAGGCCCACTTTAATTTTATTCAGCCCGTAGGCCAAAAAATAGTTTAACCAGTCAAGAATTTATTACGTAGTATTAATTTTTTTTATTCAATCCTCAGGGCACCTAACCCTATACAAGTGTTGTCACCCGAATAAAAACCTGAGATTTTCAAACCACTCGCCCTTGTCTGCTTGTACTACATTCCCGTCGTAAGGTAAGACCTTTCAGAGACCTATGTGCTACCGCTGCCAAAGCCACGTAAGGTTCTCGGGATCGGTATACACCCTTTGTCTGATTACACCACAAGTCCGTGTCACCCCCTTCACAGTCCTCGCACCTACGCACCTATGCGCAGACACTACACTAGCTATCTAGCTAATTATCTCAAAGTATTCCTAATTTTACTGCGAACAGTGCATAGACATGCCCGGCCACAAATAATGAAATTAAGTCTGCAGACTCCTTTTAGGCACGTATTGTCTTCACAGATTCCATTCAGGCACGAATGGTGTACCGTGAACTGTGTTCGTATCGTACCTAATTAACCACAACTATAACTCCTAATAAGTAGTATAAATTAAAAGTCCACTACATCCCTGGTATTTTATTTTGACAAATTCTACTAGATTCTATGCAACAAATAAAAAATGTACATTTAACAAATAATTATTTAATTATTCAAAAATATTATTTTTGGCTAGGTAATCATATATAGATATACACATATATTTTTAAACGGTTCCATATATTTTGCCTAGGAACCTAACCAGTCCCAAGCCTACATAAGTATTACTCTTATAGAAAGACTAAACAACCTTATTTTATTGTGTTGTTCATCCATTTACTTTTACCATTCATTTAAAAGAAGGGGTATAAATGCTAATCCACTTTTAGCTCTTTACCAAAAAGGGAAACAAGACCATCATTTTGGGACATCCCAAAAAGGAAATACAAGACTATCATTTTGGGACGGAGGGAGACCTTGGTATATATACTCAGTATTACGGGCTTAGTGGGCCAATCCTTTGGGTTAAATCCTACCTACTCACATTGGTTCTTGTATTCTTACAATTATTTTATTATTGTTATTATTATTATTATTATTATTATGATTATTATTATTGTTGTTGTTGTTGTTGTTGTTGTGGTTGTGGTTGTGGTTGTGGTTGCGGTTGCGGTTGCGGTTGCGGTTGCGGTTGCGGTTGTGGTTGTCGTCGTCGTCGTCGTCGTCGCCATCACCACCATGACCATCATGAGAGTAATATTTACTTGATGAAATTTTAAATGTAAAAATTTTCTTTTATTTGATAACAATTGATTTATTGAAATATATTATTGGGATGGAATGTTACCGAACTTCTAATTGTTTGCCCAAGATTTTAGAAAGACCCAAACTTAAAAAAGAATCTTTTTACACGTTTGCTCATTTACTCTCTCCTTTGCAGGTAGTCGTTTCTCCGTGAACGATAGATATAGATATGCATTGCCTCCACACTTCACAGAAGTTTTCCCCCAACCTCTTGACAAATGAATATTTCGCGGAAATTTTTACCCTTATTCTCAATAACCAGTCCGGTGCGTTTCTTACTCCAGCAGAATATTTTGGTACCCTGTATTATGTAGGAGACCTAGTGGATGCAAATCTAGTTAATTTATTGGAACCACATCCAATTTTAGGGGTCATATATAGTATTGGGGGTAACATATCCGGTGACAGATTCATATATCAAAATTCTATAACAATAAGATACAATGTCCCGCTTATGAGAAAATCATACATGTTCCTGGTTATAAAAAACCAGTATCGTGAAGGTTTTGCTAGAATAGCACGAAAGATAATAAGTCTTAATTCTGCCCCTTATTGGAAGCTCGTCATTATAATCAAAATCAGGCCGGAGCTATTCGCCCGAGTGCGTGTACAAGGGCAAGGAATCGTGTCAACCATGGCACACAAGAGACTGTGGCAAACGTTCAAATGCTTTCGAGGTGTCATGGTCGATAGACTAAGTATTCAGGTTTATTGGAAGTGCTAGCATTTCCAAATCTGGGACCCAACAATTGGTCGGTCGTTCTAGACAGCTGGTTAGCAGAGGAAAACATGATGAGAGACCTCATCGAAGAACTGGACGAATTCCTCGATAACAATGCTTGTAAGTAGTTATATATCAAATCTAAAAAAATAAAATCAAAAGGACTTTAAAATATTGATTCATGTTTTATTTTCTTTAAGGAGGTTTGGGGAGCTGAACTAAAATAAACAAAAGAGACTTTGAGTGTAAGACATAACCTAAAACTCATTCCAAATATGTGAAATTGGTAACATGATTATACTCATTTCAAGTTGGGTTTTAGTAGTTTAACTATTTTAAGTTTGTTTTGTTGGTATGTGTTGAATCCTTTTGCCTCAATATGCTTAAGGGCTTACACTTCACTTCTTTGAAAAAAACCACCTCGATACCTCAAATAATAATTTGGAAAAGGACTCAAACATACCAACAAAACAAAGTTAAAATAGTAAACTACTAAAACCCAACTAAAGATATGCATCATCAGTGAAATAAGTATAATCATGTTACCAATTACACATATTTGAAATGAGTTTTAAATTATGTTTTACACTAAAAGTTTTCTGTTTATTCTAGTTCAGCTCCCCAAACCTCCTGAAAGAAAATAAAACATGAATCAATATTTTAAAGTCATTTTGATTTCATTTTTTTTAGAATTAATATGTAGCTACTTATAAGTTCTCAAGGAATTTATTCAGTGCTTTGATGAGGCCTTTCATCCTGTTTTTCTCTGCTAATCAGCTGTCTAGAGCGACTGACCAATTGTTAGGTCCCGGATTTGGAAATGTTGGCACTTCCGGTACATCCTTCATATTTAGTCTATCGACCATGACACTCCGAAGCATTTGAGCGTTCGCCACAGTCTCTCGTGTGCCACGGTTGACACGATTCCTTGCCCTTGTACACGCACTCGGGCGAATAGCTTCGGCCTGATTTTGATTGTAATGGACGAGCTTCCAATAAGGGGCATAGTTAAGGCTTATTATCTGTTGTGCTATTCTAGCAAAACTTTCACGATACTGGTCTGATCTTTTATAACTAGAAACACGTCTGATCTTCTCCTAAGCGGGACAATATATCTTCCTGTTATGGAATTTTGATATACGAATCCGTCACCGGGTATGTTACCCCCAATACTATATATGATCCCTGAATTGGATGTGGTTCTAATAAATTCACTAGATTTGCATCCACTAGGTCTCCTACATAATACAGGGTATCAAAATATTCTGCTGGGGTTAGAAACGCACTGGACTGGCTATTAAGAATAAGGGCAAAAAATTTCGCGAAATGTTCATTTGTCAAGAGGTCGGGGGATAACTTCAGTGAAGTGTGGTTCGGGTAATCGGGTTGTTGTCTTGTTGAGAAGAGGTTTCACTCTTTTGCTAAGAAAATCGTGCAATTCATTTGTTGCTCAATTAATGATGAAGCCATGTGGATCAAGGACATTAAACGTAGATCCATACAGAATATTGCTTTGTTTAAAAGATAGGTACGATTAAGCAATGGGTTTGGTAGATTGTACATTAACATTTATTGTATGTTGCATTTTTTTGTTCAAACCAATGCCTCATTGGTTGTTTTCAGGGATGGACTGTTATGGGCTGACCCAACCCAACACCGTTTAGGCCAAGTCCAACCCAGTGCTGATTACCCGCATGGCCTATGTTTGGGTGCAAAATATCACTTATGGCTCGATTCATCTTACTTTTCATTTTTAAATTTTCTCTTTTGATTTTTTATTTCACTTTAGGACTCTTTCACCAACCCCTCCCCAAATCTAGGAGAGCGGCGGAGAGACTACCAACTCTCATCTCAGGGAAGGTCATATGGCCGGATTCCCGGAGTTGGGCATGACCGATAGAGCAAGCTGTGTTCGGATTCCTCGTTTCAACATCGCCGGGCAACCATGCTATCGATTTGTTGGTCTCTAGGCTTGGAATAGAGAGAAGAGTAGCAATAAAGGTATACCTCTAGATTCTGGACACTAATATCAAAGTCTATTAAATCCAATTCATTGCCTTCATCAACCTCGGTGCTATAATTCTCCATTGATTGAGCTGCTTCATGCCTGTAGTTGGTTTCTCCGCTTCGATTTTTTTAATTGTTTTCCATTTTAGTAATCCTTCCAGAACTACAATTAATAAATAAGGACACCAATACAGTGATACTCTATTTCATTGTTTTCAAATTGCTTTTAGTTTTTTCAGTAGTACTGGATCCTATTTGATTTGTCCAGATGGAAAGCATTGTGGATGTTACCAATCATCCTAAATGAATATATGTATATCTCAATCTAACATGCTTATTGTTGGCTATCCTGACCGTCGCCATCTGGAGTAGTTCCCGGTGGAATTTTTTGATGAATTTTTTTAGCATGTTATTCATTAAGTCTAGTTACTCATACCAAATTTAAGCTAATAATTCAATCGGAAAGGCATCAAATGAATTCTTGAAAATAATTGTGCTTTTAATTGCGCAGGTATCTTCAAGAATTCATTTGAATGTCTTACCGATTAATGTTTTATCTTAAATTTGATATGAGTAAACTGTATTTAATGAATAGGATGCTTAAAAAAATTTTATCAAAAAATTCCACCGGGAACCGCCTTAAATGGCGATGGCCGGACAGAAGATATCAGTTTACTGCTGCCACAAATTAAATAAGTTTGTGGAGCTGTAGATTAGAAGATGTCTTCGTTGAAAACGGAATTATATTCAAGAGCATGTACAAATTAATATTCACGTATTTATATTCAAGAGTTTAAAACGGAATCATAATATATATTTGAGTACGTAAAAGAGCATGTACAAATTAATATTTGACTACACTAGAAATTTTAAATGAGCTTTTTGAACTTTTCAATGCTCATTTCGTAAGTTATGTATGCTCATTTGATATAGGCGTGATATTCATTTTAAACTATCATATTCATACATATTGGTGTAATGCTATTTTAAATTTTTCACTGCTCATTTCGTAAGGTGTGTATGCTTATTTTATATTTGAGTATACTAGAGATTTGAAATGAGCCTTTTCATTTTTTTATAATTTTACACTAGATTCGCATTTTGTATTCATATGAGTTCTTATAATTATTAAAAAAAAGTGAATTACAAGAACCGAAGCAGATATCACAATGCTCAATATTTGAGTTCTAATACTCAACAAAATAATGAGCAATAGTCCAATTTTAATGAGTATTAAGCGTCCAATAATGAGCACCATGTTATTACAAGAAAGATGATACCACAACTAAAAAACGGTGTCATTTTCGTAATTTGAGTGAAAATCGCAGTTTTCGTTAGATGAGCATTAATACACTTTTAATGAGCATCAGACGTATTCTACTGAGCATTAAGAATCGAATAATGAGTATTGTGATGTCAACTTTATATACTGTAAGTCACTTTCTTTTTCTTATTTTTTCTTTTATAAAAACTCAATAAATTATGTTCATAATCAACTCATATGAACTTCAATATATGAATCTAATGTAATATGATACTTTTGAAATATGCATCGATATGAGCATATGTAACTTATAAAATGAACATTGATATGTCATTTTAAAATGAGCATAATATTACCACATATGAGCATACATAATAAACAAAATGAGCAGAAAAATTTTTAAAACTCATTTGAAATCTCTAATGTGCGCAAATGTTCATTGTGTGTGCTCATTTTTTATTCATTATAGTCATTCGAATATAACATAAATGTGTCTCTATAATATGTATATCTAGTTGATTCATTATTAAAAATTCAAATGACATAAAAAGTAGCAATACTATATTGTACTGTTAACTTTTATAAAAAGATGAAGAAGAAGATTGATAACATATGTCTAGTTGATTCGTTACAATTAGAAACTTTTTATGTACAACCCATTCGTTATTAAGTTTCACAGACTTAGCAAGATGAAGAAGAAGATTGATATCAGATATTTCATAGTCATATTACAACCCATGCGTATGTATATTTAGAGATCTTATCTCAACTACTATCACAACTGAATAGCTAACAGTCGGTTATGACTAACTACTTCTTTATCTCCTGTGTACGCGTGGTTGTTTTAATATGGTGCTGCAGCAGACTAGGCTATCTGACGTGGCTCACAGTCAAAGTCAAGGGTTATAACACTTTATGGATGCCAAAGATGGAGTGTAAGTATGTTATTTTTTCCAACCTTAGATATGGTTTAATTTAATGAAAATTTATGATTTTGATTTTAGGAGGGGTTCAGGTGCTGCTATTTTTGACTGGGAAGAAGATATTTTGGGGCGAGTTGGTCAAGAGAAGAACAGAGCAGGGAGATGCGGTTGTCTGAGAAACAAAGCATCAATTGAGGAGTTGAAGATTTTAGATTTACATATGCACAGTGAACTACAAAGCATGAAGATGATCAATCAGAATGAAGCAAAAGAAAAGCATTTTTGGAAGAAAATGTGTGTTGTGCTTTTATTTTTATTTGGTGGTACTGTTATGATAAAAAATGTAATAGGTAGAGAGATTAGTTCATAGACTAGTTTGTGGTCTATGAAATTATGTTGAATTATGGTAATGAACGGGGTGTATGTTGCTGCTGGTTGTTATTGATAATGTTGCTGGTTTTTTGTTTGTCATATTTGTCCATTTTGTTTATCAAAATGTTGTTGCTACTACTGAAATTAAGTTGCTGGTTTATGGTTTATCAAAATGTTCTATTTCTTTTTGTCTAGGTTGGCTTTGTTATTACAAAAATTAAGTACCAGGCAATGTGAATGGCTAAAAGTTGCTGTAACGAACTCCATGTTGCACATTTACTAATGTGTAAGTAACTATTATTTGCGGAAATGAACTCCAGGTATTGCTGTACCGAATATGGGAGTGAAGCAATAATAAAACTTCCTTGAAAGGAAATTATAGAAAAGAAAAGTGAATGGAATATCTGCTTTTGAAGCCTAATAGAAAAGTGATAGAGACTTTACTAATATGAAGATAAGAGATAACTACTTCAATAAAATGTATTCCAGTAAGAAATAGGGTTGTTATTAGTCAAGTCGGTTATGAGCTAATTACTACCAGGGGTTAGTCTTACTGACTATAAATAGAATAAGGCTGGGAGTAGTAGAGAGGATTATGAACTTGTAAACTGTACGCTAAGTGATTGTTGCCTTAGGCCTACGGCCATTGTTGCCTAAAGAGAATAAGAGTTGCCTTTACGTTCTTGATTCCATTGTGTATTCTGTTAGAACAATTCTGCAGTTTCTAACATTGGTATCAGAGAGGTTAATCGTCGTTAATGGTTTGGACGCGAGGAACAATGGAAGCGAGAGTAGAAGAGTTAGAAAAGAACCGTCAAGAAACGAAGGAGTTGTTGGCTGCGATTCTCGCGAGGTTGGACGCGAGAGACAAACATCGATCGCGGAGTCGTTCGCACGCTTCGTCTACATCGCATCCTTCTTATCATCATCGACGTACGCAGCCGTCGACTAAATTAGAGGCCACGGAAGATCGATCGATGAACAATAGACACCATCCGCTATCATCGAAGGAGCCACAGAAGAAATCGCGAACTTCTTCTCATCGTTCGCAGTCGCGAACAGAGTCTTCACCATCGCAGACTCACTCAGCGGCGATTAATTCACGATCAAGAAAGGCGTCATCTCCTTTCGTTCCTCCAAATTCGCAAGAAAATTCTTCCGGAACTATGGTTGCTACACGAACAGAAGACCCCAATTGGCAATCGCTATCAGAGTCACCAGAGTCGCAGCATGAGTTGAAAACTCAGAAGAAACCTTCCGTGGAAGATTCGCAATCCTATGGCAACGAGGAACGTAAAGAGAATTTGTCAGTTAATTCTGGACCTGTAGCTGGAGCTATTACTAGCTTTCCCACATTCATCAAACCCTCCAGGTATGAACTCCTTAGCTCAGAATTGGAAACCAAGATGATGTGGTCGATTGAGCGTGGCTCTCAAATTGATAAATACCTGCAAGTTAAGATAAACCAAATTGGGAAGTCAATCCCTATATCTCGAGGTATTCATTCACCTGCTACTGGAGACTCATTGGTTAAACCTCTCAAGACCTCAACTATATTTGATTTAGGGAAGGAGGTGTTTCTTGTAGCTGATGTGATTGCAGGGTTGCATAAGATTGATGGTTTCAGATTTGATGATGTTGATCAAAGTAAAAGGTTTATATTGGAGCACTCCCATGATCTTGCGAGGAATGTAAATAGATTTCCTATTGTGCATACTGGTCTGATTAATGTAGTTAAACACCAGAAATATCTGGCAGTGACTAATAAAAATGGGAATGGGCTGTTACACTTCATTATTGTGGCAAATGGAGCAATTCAGGAAATAACGGTGAAAGAAGGAAGTGAAGCTGCACGCAGAATGGGGATCCACAGTATTATGACTGATGTACTTGATGCTGCAGAAATTCAAGGGATGGAATTGCAGCCAATTGTTGAAAGTATGAGAAAATACCCCAAGATTGGTCTACTTAACCCATGTAAATCATCAGAAAGATATCTAAGATTGGGAGACAATTCTGCCAAGACAGATCCTAGCATATCAATCACTGCACTCCCTGATGTTGTGGATATAATTGCGGGGGTATTAAAGAAGACAACTCTTGAGAGCTACCAGCAAGCTCTAGGCGAAGCTGTTGCACCAAATATTTTAGAAAATTTCCATGGTGATCCGGTCCATTTTATGACAAGGTCGTTTGGAGTGCCAGGACATCATTTGGGACAGAAAAACCAGGATTCTCACTGGACTTATGATCCTTTGGCCATTGTTACTTCCTTTAACGCTGCAGTGGAGTTTTCTGATTTTCAGCTGATGGGTGCATTATACAACGGAAATAAAACCAGTCTTAAAAAGAACAGCAGGGTGTGCACAACAATGGAACAAATGCTAATCCGGGTTCATGATTGGGGAATACAGTTGGATATTGAGCTATTCAGTGTGAAGCTTCAATCTAAAGATAGGGTGAAGTCAGAAGCAAATGCTATGCTCAGGCTGGACAGGAGTATTTCATCTAGAGGACGAGAAGTATGGGAACGTATGATACCACCATCAACTAAGTACTGGGAAGGGAGAGGCACCAGGAGGAAGCTGAATACCAGACTTGGTTCATATCTTCCAACTTGAGGGCAAGTTGGATTTTCAGGAGGGGAGATTTGATAGAGACTTTACTAATATGAAGATAAGAGATAACTACTTCAATAAAATGTATTCCAGTAAGAAATAGGGTTGTTATTAGTCAAGTCGGTTATGAGCTAATTACTACCAGGGGTTAGTCTTACTGACTATAAATAGAATAAGGCTGGGAGTAGTAGAGAGGATTATGAACTTGTAAACTGTACGCTAAGTGATTGTTGCCTTAGGCCTACGGCCATTGTTGCCTAAAGAGAATAAGAGTTGCCTTTACGTTCTTGATTCCATTGTGTATTCTGTTAGAACAATTCTGCAGTTTCTAACAAAAAGTGTCTACAATAGTTCAGAACTGAATGACATGCTGAAACATTTGTCGAGGAGATATAGTAACTGACTAAAACAACTTGTTCTGTTATTATTTGGTTCCCACTCCTATTGATGTCACTCAGCAATACTAGAAAATACTTTGTGCAACTCCATGTTACACATTTACTTACTAGAAAAATAACCAAGCACATGGCCAAAACTTGCAGGTGGAACTCCCTGTTGCACATGCACTTGAAAATTAACTGATCAAATGACAAAAACTTGCTGAAATGAACTACCTATTGCACATTTATTTGAAAGCACATGGCTTGATGCTCAAGGAGTATCTGTCATGCATATAATGTTTAATACTTTGTTTTGTCTGGCACACTACTTGAAGTCGGTTTAAAAAAATTTGGTGAAATATTTTCAGATTGGCATAGAAACATGTGAAGGAATACATTATTTATGGATAAAAAACATCTATGATGCATAATGCATTTAATGATAACTACTCTATTGAAGCCGGTTTTCAAATAAAAATTGAAGCCGGTTTAGAAACAATCTGGTGTAATAATATTTTTGTCATAGAAACGCGTGAAGGAATATCTAGGCATCTAGCGCACTACTAATTGAAGCCGGTTCTAAAAAAATTAATTTTTTTGCAACTCTTCGTATTCCAATGTTGTCTACCATCTAACCTTTACGTTTCTCCAGGTTTAATTCAAGCAAAAATGATTTCCCTTGAGTTCCCTGCATGTTGTGTGATCACCATAGTTCTGATTGTATTCCAAAGCTTGAGGTTCTATTTAAAATGGTTGACATGTGGAGTTTGATCAGCAAAATCAATCAGAATAAGTCAACTTGGGCTGTCAAGTGCGTGTTTACAAGGTTCCAGCAAGCGATAAGCATAAGTAGTCTTTGGAATGCATATTTCATTATGACGAGGTGAATAGCTTTATTCTGATTGTTTTTTTTTCGATTTTTTGATGTAGTTTACTGATTACATTTTTCACTATATGGAGTATCATTTAATTGTTATTTTGCAGGGCACAAGGGTCCATGCTAACGTTGTTCGATCTAGAACAAGCTGACATCAAACTAGGCTACATCGAAACATAAAAAAGAGTTGAATAAAAAATATCTGAAATGAGTAAAACGTACTAAAGTCTAGGGTAATTTGAGAACCGACTGAGAATGAAGAGTACAAAGAATTTAGTTGTGCGGGTCGGCTGTAGGTTGAAAGCTTTTATATGGGCTTATAATGTTTCATACTTCGTATTACGGATGAGTATTGGTTTTTAATATGCTATTTTGAAACATTTGTGGAACAATTTAGTAAATTTTCAATTTTTAGTACACCGGTAAATTTAGTACATTTTCAATTTAAATCAGCAGAATCAGCTAATTCAGTCACTTCAGCCAGAACTTCATACATTTCAGCAGAATCAGTCAAAACAACCTATTTTGGTGCTACCAAACGGGCTCTATAAATAAGAACCAAAGGACAATCTTTTGCGCATGTGGGATTATTGAAGAAACCAGTTTTTAGTCATGAGCAATTTTTAGAGTTACCAATCCTACTGAAAACTTTAATTTTTGACGACAATGAGAAAACCACAAATGTGACCACAAGTGTTTCAGAATTTGTAATTTTTTACATATTATTGTGTGTTAATTTTACTTCGATTTTCTTGGTGATCATCAATTATGAATAGTAACTATTTGATATACCTCTTTTGGTATAAACATTTTTTACCTATATCAAATATGACATTATTGTTTACATTATTAAAAACTAGTATACTAGAAAATTAACCAAGACAATTTCTAAAATAGGTGAAATAAACTCCCAGTTGGACATTTAATACATAACTAACCAAATTGAAGTAACAGATTTAAATTCATAACACAAAAGTACATATAGGACAGTGAGTTCATTTAAGAGATGAAGTCTAATGACATGAACATGTTGAATCCATTCAAGGTAATCCAACCACTTAACTGACAGTCTAAGACATTGTAGATGCAAATATTCAGCTCTTAACAAATGAGTTGAAATATATAAAACACCCAAAAAAGGCTGCAACTCAAAAAAGCTAGCCGGTTATTCAAAATTTTTACATAAATTATACACACAATACGCTACCTAATACATTTATTCTACTAAATCTTCACTTCCTGATGCTTTATTAGCCACATCCCTACCAGGTCTTCCTCTTCTGCCAGCTCTTTCACAATTACCGATTTACCGCCCCTTCCTCCACTGCCACATCTTCCACCTTTGCTTCTTCCTCCGCCCTTAACTAGGGGTGGGCAAAAAAAACCTAACCGACTAACCGTATCGAATAACCGAAAAACCGGTGTGTATTTCGGTTAACCATACCGTATTTTTACAAATTCGCGGTACGGTTAACCAACCGAAAGAAAAGAACGGGACATGCCGGTTACGGTTATCAAATAAAATTACCACCGGTTAACCAATCATCCAAAGTTCAAATATTATTTCTAAACTAATTCCACAGTAAAAAACCATTACATGAGTATGGTTGTATGGTGGCCTACTGGGAACGACAACGTGTGTTACTAATTTAATACGGAGTATTATTGAGTAGTACGTAGATTAATGTCGAGCAAAAAGCCAAAAAGTGGTGGGATAGGAGCTAAATTATTATTGGTTGATTAATAAATTAATTATTTTCTCACACGGCACAATCAGTTGATGAATAAAAACTCAGCGCAATGCATAATTAATACTAGTACTATACGGAGTACATGCATAATTTGATTCTCACATGAGAGTGAATCACTGGGACTAATTGGATGAGCGACGTAATAATAGGACTGCTGACGTATCTTTTGTTGTTCAAATGGTTTATGGTTAACCCACTCGATTAACCGAAGTAAGCGGTTTCTCGATTAACCGGAAAGTTGGTTAACCAAAATCCGGTTTACCAACCATGCCCACCCCTACCCTTAACGGATGACCTGCTACGTACTCCAAGGGAGGCACCGCATCGGCCGGCATACAACGGCCAACATGCATCGGCCAGCAACATTTCGGCCGCGACGCATCGGCCGGTGACACCATCGGCCCGTTGTACATTGTCCAAGGAAGGCCCGTTGACGCCCTCGGCCACAACGACAGCTGACTGCTCCCCCATCAGCTTGCAACGCCACGGTCTGCGCCCGTCAGCCGTCACCCATCGGCCAGACCGCATCGGCCGGCCAGACCGCATCGCCCGTCAGCCGGCACACCCATCGACTGACAACACATCGCCCATTATCCATCGGCCATCATCCATCGGCCATCATAAGCCAGCAAGTTGGTCCGATGCAGTACCCTTCATCTTGGGACCACCAACGTCCAAGCGTCTTCGGCCAGAACATAGCAACAACAAAAACTGGGCAGGCTTCGCCCAAGCTAACCGCAGAAAAGCCAGGACACTGCATCGGCTTACCCAAGGTTTTAAATGGCGACCCGCTACCGCTATAGCGGCCGCTATATAGCGGTTGCGGTAGGGGCCGCTATATAGCGGTGCGGTAGGGGCCGCTATATAGCGGTTGCGGTAGGGGCCGCTACCGCTACAACCCGCTATTTCTTGGTGATTTCCAAATCACGGGGAAAATCCACTACGTCGCCCGCTACAACCCGCTACAGCCCGCTACCGGCCGCTATCGACATTTCCGGCAGTACATCACGAACTGTTGCATGTGTAAATGTGTAAATGTTGTGTGAATGATGTGAAAAAACACATTAGTGAAACTCAAAATTAAATGTACATCTATCCACATACATTATGGTAGCAAATATTAATAAATACATGAATTACAATTATTAAAGCCGAATTAATGATTAATAAGGATGATTTATATTGGTTGACGAAAAAAATTTGACTTAACAAAACAATTTGGAACGGAAATGATATTATTATGGATTATGCAAATGAAATTGGAAATGAAACGCAAATATGTATTATTATTATTAGGTAGATTCTATGGTACTCTTATGATATCATATCTTTTTCCACATGGACTAATCAAAATGATACAGTCAAATTATTTAAATCTAAATTAAAAAGGATATAATGATTGGACCAATCAAATGCATGGTAGCTACGATACCCCATTTTTTAAATGAGTACCGAAGTCATCACCTATTATTAATTTGGAAGTGGACTTAACATAAACTGTTGTATTTGTTTTTTTAATATACGGTTTAATAAGGACACTAATCTTGACTATATTTTCGAAGAAAGTGATGCATTATCTCCATGGATTGAAGAGAGGGAGAATCCATTATTAGACGGACTACAAAATTCTTCATGGTTGCCTTTGATGGACACCGATGATGAAAATATGGAAGACGAAAATGATGATGATGGTGGTGGTGATGGTGGTGGTGGTGATGGCGATGATGGTGGTGATAGTGGTGGTGATGATGGTAATGGAGGATTAGGGGACCCCAATAATGATTGTAATGATGACACTGCGAGTGAGATTCAGACACACTTCCAACCCTCGAAGCGTTATAAGAGTTTAATTGATTTGACTACCGATCATCCTTCATTGTGTGAGAGCAGTAGATCCGGGTCAAATAGGAGAAGAGGAAACAGACATCATAACGTTGCATTAGATGATTCATCATATTCAAGTGTTGGACCGAATTTCGGTTATAGTGGTAATGATGAATCTTCTAGTAGTAGTCACTATTATGTGCCATTTGACCAGTATCCCAATGTCACCTGTTATGATCAATATGGAAATGATCAAGCTTCTTCATACTACCAACCATCCACATATCAAGATCCTTATTACCAAGAAACAAGTGATGGATTATATGATTATGTTTTCATACAAGGATATACTCATGATGATGGTCAGAGTAAAAGCCGAGGTTGATCCCCCACGCCACTCCACCATGTGGTAGGAAGAATGATGTAAGTCACTACATTTCTTTTAATAATTATTATTACTACTATTGTTATTATTACTACTATTGTTATGATTACTATTGTTGTTATTATTATTATTACTACTATTATTTATTATTATTTTTTCTTTATTAATTTATTTGGTTTATCATATTTGTTTTGAAGGGAAGATCGCACTGAAGATGTATTTGTAGGTGGTGACGGTGTAGTATTTGAAACTTTTTGTAACGTGTCATTTAATGTAGCAATCTATTTAATTTAAAGACGTGTTAAGACTTGTTTAGTTTGAAGACAATTTGATTGTGTGTGTAATAAATTATTTAGTTTACCAATCGTTCTAATTATCA